TTACGGGTTAAAATAAAAGAAGGTAAGCATTAAAATTCTAACAGATATAATTTGCAAAAGGACGGTTTTATTCCATTTAAAAAAGAAATTATTTGGGTGAATAAAATATTATTGATCTTTGCTTGATTTTTAAAGCTTTTGGTTATCTGTTTTTCCACTTCTTATTCTTATGGCGTGTTACAAATAATTTATTTATTCTGACAATATTCTTTGTTTTGAACCAAAATTATGTAATTTTGATTGATTGGAAATCAACAATACTCATTCAGATATCAAGGAACGGACATAAAAGTATGCTTTGAATCGTTATAGATTTAAAAAAAAAATAAGTAAAAATTTATATTAATAAAAAAAAGGAATTTTCAGCCCGGAGATAATAAACTGGAAACCTTTGAAAAGGGTGTATCAAAAGAGAGAAAGCAAACAACCTTTTTTTACAAACCATCAAACCCAAAGCATCCTGACCTACTAACTCGGGCAGATAGTTTGAAATCCTCAACCTAAAAGAGGGTCTAGGTTTAAAAATATGTATCAGAAATATCTAACCTTTATACTTGTAATAACAAAGTTATACATAAAATATATTACTTAAATATTTTTACTTTTAATAATAAGGCTGTTGTAAATATCCCCTAATTTTTACTTTCACTTATCTATACATGGAATATATAAGTAAGGGTAAGCATTGCGGTCGAATCTGAGTTTTCAACGGAAATAGACGTTTTGAGGTCCCCTGAGTCGAAATAACGTTTCACAAAAAATGTGTGTGTGTGTGTGTGTGTTCGCGCGTGTGTAGGTTTGTATATATGTGGTAAGCCTAGCTCAAAAACGAAAAGTCGTACTTAGGGTAGCCTAGAAGAGTGTTTCATGGTGCAAGTTGCTCCATCAAAATTGTTGAGAGGGGGCATGTTTTGACAGGTTGTATCTCTCTTATTGATAGTAACTATAAAAAATAGCTAAATATAACTTTTAGAAGAATTTGATAATTGAATAAAGGAAAAAAAAGAAAAATGCTTATCCAGGTCTAAATGAATTTCCGGAAATTAGAGTCAGAAGGTATACGTAAATATATCTATTAAATATAGTTGTAGAAGGTAACGGATTAATAATTAATAATGGTACAATCCATAATCAACCGTCGATATAATAAATAGGATTTTTATTATTGTAATGATATTAATGACTTGTTACATGTTAGCTCTATCCTTTAGCTCGCTTAAAACTACACTTCAACAATTTTATAATAGTCAGAAAATAATTTATATTCAAGTAGAGCGGCGAGAGAAAGTTGTGTGTTGCGTGCACCAGATTTTTATTATTTATTAGTTTATAACTTAAATTTAACCAAATAAATTAAATTAATAATTATAAACAAATAATTAGCATCCCGTAATTATATAATTAGTTTATAATTCTAGGATATACGAGCTGCGTGAGAAACTTCTGCATTTAGAATTGCCCATTTTATTCTTATCAGCTTAATCTTTTATGATAATAATTTTTTTTTTAAATTTCATATTAATTATTTATTTTTTAATATTCTCTAGATTAAATTGTTTTCATTACAAATTTCTCACCATTCCAGTTGAATAAAAATCGGTCTGTAATGACTAATACAACTAAAAAATTCATGATTCCTGCTAATGACCATTTTTAATTGAAAATTATCAAGATATGGAGATATACTTGACTGTAAATTATGAGTATGACGAATTATCAGGATATTCAGTCAGTTATATTGTTGTTGAACAGGTTTGCCGACGTTTCGACCCACGTCCTTTTTATTTAGCATTTGTTTAAGCACGAGATTTTACACTAATATTTTTACAAAAATTTATTAAGACAAATATTGTGTATAGATGTGGATTTGTTTTATTTATTTAATTTCCTTTAGTTTCTATCTATTATTATTACTTTTTGTACGTATGTATATTAATTTTCTTATTTTGTTTTCTACATTAATTTTCTTTGTTATCTCTATTTCAGTTATCATTTGTATGTACATGTTGTTCGAATGATTAATATAATATCAATGCCCTCAAACGTGGCAGAATGTATTAATTTTCAATTAATAAAAAACATATTAAGATAAAATTTAAAAGTCCTTTTTCCTCAATTCTTAGCACTTCTTTTTTTTCTTGGAGGGCCATCAAAATGGGAGATCTTTAATTTATTCACTATTCTTATTATACTTCTGTTTGTTCCGATTATTTTAAAAATTTTATTGTTGCTTATTATTTAATCTTTTTATTATAAATTAAAGATTATGTGCCATTGGGAGCCAACGACGACGTTGGCTTAGACTGTTAGTGTATGTGCCGAGGTAATTGTTTACCTTCATTGATCGGTCGTCTCAGTTTAGATAGACCTGCCTCCGCCCTTCAAGGGCATCTCTCCCTTTGAGAAAAACACCTTTCAGGATCCATAACATAATATAACACAGTAATTATATCAACACAGCTAATTATAATAATTACGGATGCTGAACGCAAAATACAGAGTCGTAATAGAGGATATGGTGGTCCAGGTTTAGGATTTAATTTTTTGGGGGAAGAGGCTTCAGCCCGAAAGCTTTTTTTTTCATGTATATAATGACAATTAATTTGAAAAAAAAAAGAAAGAAACTACCTTCCTATGTGACATGTTGTTTAAGTGATTCTTGAAGTTCTAATTAATGTAATTACACGAACAATAATATTTTAAGAGATATTTAATATTTGGTTCTGTAAAACATGGTTATATGTTACCATTTTTGGGGGGGAGCTTCAGTCCGAAAGCCCCCCGTAGATCTAGATCCGCCTGTGTGGTAGACATCAAGAGCTAAAAAAAATCATGTAAACAATTGCCCAATTTCCAGCAAAAAATTAAGTTAAGTTATGTCTTTTTTTGGGTTAGTCACGTTTTTCGAACTTAAAAAAAACTTAATTTAAATAATTACGAATTACATCACAAAAATCTAGACAAAATTTACTTTAAACGAAAATGGAGTTTGTCAATGTTAAAACCATTTTTGGCTGTAAAAGATTTTCTCTTGTAGTCCGTGGTACAGACCCCTTTTTATCGAATCATTTACATCCGTCTGAAACTTCGTAAATAGTTTCATCTCATCATAACCTACGACTATTTTATTTACGAAAACTCTTGGAATTGAGGCCTTTTTAATTTGGAGGGGGGGCAAACTATTTCATTATACACTAAAAACCCGTAAATACGTAAATAAATGCTTTCTTCTTCGATTGTAAGATAATTTGATCACAAAACCGAGAAAAAATATGGCCTTCAAAAATATTGAGCCGTTTGGATGGATTAAAATTCTTTCCGCCTTGTATTATTTTAACCACATTTGTCCTATTACAAATGTTCATCAATTAACTGTGTTAAATTCTTTAACAGCGAAACCGTCATCATCAAATCCAACTGGTTCGTTACAAGCAGAGGGTCTCCGATTTCAAGATTTTTTTTTTTTTTGACATTACATCGAAAAATATTGAAGTCTCGTCGTTTGTTCCAATGGGCCATAGAAACCGAGAAAAAAAAGTATTTTATAAAAAAAAAAAATATATATGTGTTTCACCTTACTCCCAATTTTCAAATTATTATATACCAATGGAGTAATTTATTTATTTATTTTTTTCGAAATAAGAAAAAAACATTACCGTTAGTACTAAATGAATTTTAATGTATCGTAAATTACTTAAAAAAAAAAAAAAAAAAAACGCTCCCAGTAAAGTAAGCTAGGTAAACTTTAATTTTGGAAAAGGAATCATATTCGGTTTTAGTTTCCTTTAAAATTCTTAAATATGAATATTTATAGAAATGGAAAAGTGCGAACTTAAAACATCATTTTCTAGGAAAAAATTGTTTCCGACCACAAAATTAATATTCGTAACGCCTCAGGATTTTCTTCAAATCAACGTTAATTCAATCGTTGGTAGGCTGAATTATTGCTTTTTCAACGTAGTTCAATAATTTTCAAGTTGAAAACAAATAAAAACGTCTCAAACGTTTTTATTGTATATCTTTGGTTCGGTTGCTATAAAAATTAGTATTTGAATTTCCGAAATCGGATTTCAATTTTTTATTTCTTTGAAAAAAATATCTATTCCCACATTGCTATGTTGGTCTGTATAATTTGTTCCAATATTTTACTCATTATAGGTATGCTTAATTGGAAACATTAAATTTAAAACTTTTGATTTCCGGTAGTTCTATAATTTAGAAATTCTTGCATCATTAACAGGTAAGTTCTCTACAAAATATATTTTCCTAATCTGCATAATGCATAAGATATTATTAATATATATTTATTTAGAATAAAATAGGATATATTTTTTTTTAGTTTACTTAACATAGTTATTTGTCTTGCATCACTTTTACTAGGATGTTACAAAAGTTCTTATGCATGACATTAATACAAAAACTTGTTTATTCCAAAATTTACGTTTCGTTCTTTCCTAAAAACAGTATTTCTGCCAGAAGTTGAATATGGTCATTCGCTTCGTATAAAAAAAACATTTGGCATTCTGATTTCAAATTCATAGTTTCAATAATCTCACAATCCTGTTTTTCTCCTTATACCTTGCGAATCACTGTAATTTTCGAATTCTTATTGCAGTTATTTAATATCTTAACCAAAGACAAAAACAATGGAGGCACGTAATTAAACAGAAAAAGTATAATCTTATTTCAAAGGTTCGCCATATTGCAAAACTACTTTTGTACAGCACTTATATGATAAATAAATATCCATAGATAAAGTTAGAATTGCACGTAGATGAATTTAAACCTTTCTTTGTGATGGATAGACCATAATCATAGTTTTAACTTTAGCATAAGGTTCATTATTTCTTGGTATGATGTATGAAAGCATGTTGTATGTTGGAATAAGATAAGAATTATAGTGAATGATTCGAATGTTAGTCTTAATATATTCTCAAAAAATAGTTTAGTATCTATCTAAATCTTTTTACTAACAAATTTTCAATCCTTTCATGTCACAGGCCGCTCGGACGTTACCGTCACAACATAATTCTTTCATATCTTCATCTCAGTTAACCGTAAGTACCACTTTGCATCTTGTTTTGATTGCTTTTCTTTTTGTATATATTTCTTTCTTATTTAAAATCTATTACTTTTAATCTAACATATGCATCTGTACGATAAGTGAATGGTACAAGAACGTCCTTATTTTGAATGAACTGCTTTTAAAAAATAAAAGATATTTTCAAAAACCTAGAAATATAAGATAAGAACATATTAACCAGGCACTGAGGTTTTCTTATACTAAATATTTAAACAAAAGGTGTGTACGCATTTTTTAATTTAATTTTACTTATATATTTATTTTTTTGTTCATTGGGTAAATATTAATCAATATAATCACTCTATAACTTAAATATACTTTTTTTTTCTCTCTAAAACTCAAAGTCTTCTGGTTCGATGAAGTGTCTCTTTTTTTTAACTTTTCAAAAACGATTAGCTTTTTTAAAGAACATAATATGTGATGATTTCTCTTTCTCTAACACTTTTTCCAAAAATATGTTGCCTCGCTATGTAATAAAATAATAGCATTAAATCCTTGTTGTATTGTAAAATACTATAATTTCCATTATTGAGATTTTACCTTCTTAGTAATAAACCTAAATATATATAGTGTCATTAAAAAAAAAAAAAAAAAAAAAATATATATATATATATATATATATATATATATATATATATATATATATATATATATAAAACTACTTGGGAAATATACCCCCTGTCCGCCTAATGGCGGACCTATACCCCCTGTCCGCCTAATGGCGGACCTACCCATTTTACAAATTATACAACTGTTCATTAAATTATAGTACTCCTTGCACAAATCGTATTACTTTAATTTAAATGTATTCTGTAGTTCAGATTGTATTATTTTTTATCAATATAACAAATGTTTTTTATCAACACAAAAAAAAAATTTTTAGAAGTAAAAAACCATTTTTTATACAAATTTTTGTCTAAAATCTTTATTTTGTATTAGGAAAAGTTGGAGATAACAGGAGCTCAACATATATGTAATTAAATGTACGGCTGTATAATTTGTAAAATAAACGCCGAGCTCGTGTTTTCTCTACAAATTTTTAATATTTTATTTTAGATAAAAAGTAAATATTTAATACCGAAATATTGAAAATGATAATATGCATACATCTATATAATCGCAAACAACGGACATTTTCCAAAACTTAAAAGTTTGAAACGTAATTCGTATGTAGTGAAACTTGTTATGGTTTGTTATGAATTAATAATTTTTCATACCTCAATTCTTTTGAACGCAAACTTGAAATAATCAGCAGCATATAAGAAATATCTTTTTTTTTTTTTCTTTTCAAATATCTATCCTCTTTTGATATATTAGTGTTTTGGGAGATTTCGAAGAACTATAATTTCCTCGCACAAGATATTCTTCGAAATCACGGCGTTGAAGGCAGCAAGATTATATAATAATGTATAATTCTAATTTGTTTCGAGGTTTCAAACCGGTCTCAGATGAGAAATGAGAAACCCGTAGTAGATCCAATTACTGATAATGAGAATCTAAAACTTGGCGAAACTCCTCCGTCCTTTCGAAAGCGAATTATAAACGGGTTGCCATAAAATTTCTTTGGTTTCTAAGGAAGGGTATCCCTTGATTTTTTTTTTCAAAGGATAAATTAATGTATTTCTATTATTTTATTATTATTGAAAAGTTTAGTTTTGATTTAAATATTTTGGCGGAAGTAAACAAAAAAAAAACTCATTTCCTGAAGACACTGGTTTTGGAAATTGGTGTTCAAGTTCAACAACTACCGTTCGGCCTTGCCTTGAGGAAGGAGGGACGTGGTGTATCTGAGCCTCTATCAGGTGCAACAACTGGGCCGAGGTCGTTCGTCTTCATTCATTGCGGGTCCTCATTCATAATTGTAAATCAGTGCCTACTTAATTACCTTTATCTCAGACCGCATTCAGTACCCGAGGACCGAGATTTGGTAAAAATAAAAATATAAATAAATAAACTAATTTATGAAGGAAGTTAGTCGACTGTTCTGCATATCATGGGTGATAAATATTCAGGACGCTATCTCTTTAAATTTTGTATTATTCCAACGTTTCAACACAAACATGTGGGTCATCTTCAGGGCTGAAAATTTTTTAAAATACAATCAGAGATATAATAGTATACAACCGATAATGATAAATAATAAACTATAGTGATTAATGGTACATGAATCTTAACTAATATTGCAATACACATATTAAAAATGAAATATGTAAATAGTTATACAAACTAAAAATTAAAAAATAATGTATGTAATCCATTTATACAAATTTGTAATATTTTCTCTTACTGACCGTGGTTTGAGCACTGAGGGTGTTCAAGTACCGACACATTTGGTAGGTAAGAGAAAAGGTCAGGGGGGGGGGAGATTTCCCAGTTGTCCTTTTTCAGATAGTAAAAGGTACGTAAACATAGCCAGAGGGGAAGGGAGGTAAACCACAAACTAGACAAAGAAAAGATCCGTAACACATATTCGAATATTTTCCGCCTCGTAAAACAATAGTCTATAATCATTTAAAATTTTGTTTTTCATCTTTCCCCATTTCCCCGTCAACTTACGTAGGTAATTACTCCTAAAGTTATTATATAATAGTATATATACCCCTGATTGTATTTTAAAAAATTTTCAGCCCTGAAGATGACCATATGTTTGGGTTGAAACGTTGGCATAAATAGAATTTAAAATTATATAAATATTCTGCGTCCTGAATATTTATATAAAAATATACCTAAATATAAATATAAAAATATACCTTACATATAAAAATTTTAATTTTTATATTACTGTAATCTACACAATTAAATATTAAATAATACAAACGATATCACTTATGTAACCGCATATGTATATTCACATAATATTGTCGAAGTCCGTATTATATTAAGCTCATACATATGGGAGCCTATTCTATTCTTCCGGGTGAGCTCGGACGTGCTCGTATTCCTTTGGTTCCTCCATTACAACTATTATCACTTATTTCTCCTTTATTTAATTATCAAATTATTTCATATTTTATATTTGACTACTTTTTTATATCAAAGATTAATTTGAAATAGTTAAGTATTTCAAATAAAAAAAAATTAAAGGTACTTTAGAGGAAGCTAACACTGAAAATTAGCCATTTAAACTCTGTTCGAGAACATCATGAGAACCTACACTATATTCAAAACTGCTTCACAATAAACTGATATACTGAGTTCAATCAAAATCGTTAGAGCCGTTTTTGAGAAAATCGTAAAAATGTGTTAAATCGATTATATAAAGTATCACTTCCGGCTTGCCGGTTTTTACGAAAATGTTGCTGTAATATCACAGGCTTATGAAAACCTCAAATACGCAATTTCAGTTTCATACGACTTTTTGTTTTTAACTAGGCTGTTCACATCATTTTATGGGACTTGGTTATTTGGATTCAGGGGACATCAAAACATGTATTTCCGTTGAAAACTCAGATTCGAAAATTTGCACGATCGCAATACTTTCTCTTACTATATATTTCATATATAACCCATTTAATAGAAAGAACCCATTACCCATTGCGCATGTTTTGAGTAAACTGGAGTCAGTGTTAATAGCCACGGAATAACTGGATTCAGCTATCAATTCATTTTTTTTATTCGACACCACCTAATTATATTCTACATTTTATCCATCCTAAAATATTGATATTACAGCAATGGATTCAGAAAAAATGAACTTAATTTTGATTTTGTTCTTTTTATTTATTTTCTTTTAATATCAAATGGATTTTCTAATTTTATTTTGGAAAAAAATCTTGTTCCAACTTATACTTTTTCTTAGGAACAGTTTATGCAAGTTTTTATGATAAAATTCATAACAGGACTATTGTAGTAATGATCCTTTCAACAAATTTTTGCTAGGACTTTAAAATACAAGTATTCGTTATTAAAATTCTCCCTTAAATGTACGAAATGCATATATAATAGTATCATGAAGTATATTTGGCCGGAAAGTATATTTTACCGTCATCATAGAATTAATTAATTGATTCGATCCGTTTCTGTATTAGTAACCTTTTTTTTTTATATGTACCCAACCAATTTCGGATTGAATGTCTTTTATTATTAACTATATTTAAAAATGTGGATAGTATTCACATTAATCAAGCTATTATACTATCCTCAACCTAATTCTCCTACTATACAGTTTCTTTCGAAGGTATGATGGCAGAATTTCCAGACAAATTGGTTAGGATAATATTTCGTATACTATAATATCAGACGGCAATGTAGTGGCCGTATTAAAGACCCGTTTTTATAGTTCGAACGCCATTTGCGTTTCTTTAATTTCTATTCTTCGTTTTTAATATAATATTCAAATGGGTGAGGTTTCCCTAAATACCATGAAGGAGTGAAATAAGCAAACAATTACTCGGACTGACCCAACCGCAGTTTCTATTTTGGTCTCCTGTCCATCTAGATTTCTGCCCTACCTCCCGTTCTCCGCGGGCTAACAACTTCTTTATACCAGGGATTAAAACGAAATGTGATCTTTTATTTGAATTTTATTTTATAAAGTATTTTTTTTTTAAAAGCAATTGATTTAGTCAAAAATTAAATGTAAAAAATAGAATCCTTGTATGGTCATTTTAGTCTGGTCAAAAGACAAAGTGAGTTTTAGTACAGAAAATTAGGCCTTTTAATACATATAAGTATGTAAAATTTAAAGAATTGACCCCAAAGATATCACATCTGTTATTAATTATGAGGAGGACAATAAGTGATAATCTGTAGTACGGACCTCATTGGTACAGAAACTTCGAGAATAGCTTCGTCCCATCGTAACCTACAAATACTTTATTTACGAAAATTCTCGGAATCCGGGCGTTTTCAATCTAGAGATTGGCAAACATTGTCTATTTAATTAGGTACTAAAAACTCGTAATTGCCCATTTGCTTTCCACTTCAATCGTATGGTAACTTCAGCATAAAATCGAGAAACATGACGGCCTTCAA